CATAGAAGCGTTTTGATGACTTCGGGGTCGGTGGGCGGAGCCTTCCGCCGGTTTTACTACCGGTTCTATAGAACCGGTGCGAACTGGGGGCAACCTACCCCTGCCACAGTTATTATAGGGTGCTTGAGATCAAATGGGAAATCTGAGCTAATTCTTTCCAGCCCTTGATGGTATAGGAGATTAGAAGTACTCCTGACCTCAATAAGGACATGTAACTTTCATTGTTTGGTTTATCTCCACAGGCGGTTGGCCCGATCCACCTTGTTACTCATTCCACTCTTTGGGATTCACTACACAGTGTTTGCCTTTTATCCAGAGAATGTCAGCAAAAGGGAGCGCTTGGTTTTTGAACTGGGGCTTGGTTCCTTCCAGGTGGGTTATGTAGTTCTAAATAGTTCTCTCTCTCTCTCTCTCTCTCTCTCTCTCTCTCTCTCTCTCTCGCTCTCTCTCCCTCCCTCCCTCCCTCCCTCTCCCTCTTCAAGCATCCCATGGAAAATGAGGTGGTCATTAAAACTTCAGATGATTGTGTAATCCAGTGTTTCTGAACCTCAGCAACTTGAAGATGTGTGGACTTCAATTCCCAGAGTTCCTTAGTGGATGGGGAATTCTGGGAGTTGAAGTCCAACCCTTTTAAAGCTGCCAAGGTCAAAAAACATTAAGGCTGTCAGATGTAAATGCCTTATTCTCCAATGTGTAAATAATGTATATATGGAACATCAGAGGTTAACTTATTCTTTGGACTTTAATGTATTTCATACTTCACTCCACCATCCTAGCTCCACCCCTTGTATATATAAGGAGCCACCCTCACCATTCTCGTCGCTTCTACCTTGAATATTCAGTGAATATAGAATGCCTATCATAATTAAAAAGAAATATATTTAAAACTCTAACTCCTATTATCTTTATTGAGTCTGATCCTGAAAATATTGCAACAAGCTGGTAGCAGAGGATGGTTAATTGACTCAATAAGTAATTAAAAATGTCCAAGAAAGATAGGCCCAACACCAGGGCCTACAGCAAAGAAATAGAAACTGATCAAGAGATGATCAACGAATCCACCAATGCGATTTCGAGAGAATCCGAAGAATACACCACTGAAGAAGAAGAACTAATGAGTGAAAATAATGACCAGAAAGAAATCGAAATAAAAATAACGAACTCAGGTCAGAGATATTAAAGGTACTAAAAAGCCAAAAGAATGATGAAAGTCTCATCGCGGACCTCCAGGAGATGCTGAAGAACAGCGGAGCAGCGAGAGAGAAAAACGTCATTAAAGAAAAACCCAAAGATCAAAAAATCGTAAGTGAGATGACTACTGAGAAAATAGTTGTTAAAAAGAAAAGATGTGATCCCGCGCGAAATTTTGAATGGCAGCCATCTTGGTTTCAACGAACTTCAAAAGAGAATGGAGCAGAGCCAATCAAAACGCTCAGTTCAAAATTTCTGGCGCGAAAAACACTATCAGACGAAGAAAGTGAGAAAGAAGTCTCAAACTCTTCAGATGATCCAAAATCAGAAAGTGAAGACGATTTAACAAAATCTCAAGTAAAATCAGCAATGAAAACGCTTTTTGCTGCTTTTGGGCCAAGACTGAAAATTACCAAGACATCTACGAAGAAGCAAGAAATCAAACCGGCGACTCAAGACCTGCACGCTCCCATCCTGACTTCGAAAGCGACGACGCCCGAGCCCAGAGAGCCATGCCGATTTCGCCCTACATCACAGACAAAATCGAATACCAACGCACACAAAAAGAAGAAAAGAACCGTCACCACCACCAGAACCCCAAAAACCGAGCCAGAGACCGACTCATCTGAGGAGGAGCGGATCGAGAGAGCTGAAAGGGAGAGAACCTTCCACGACGCCACCAAAGAAGAAATGAACAACGCGCATGTGCGAAACTACGTAGACGACCCAGAAGGACTTGAACTGGCCAGAGAACCGCGCAGACTCATTGCAAGCATCCCAATGCCGTTCTGTAATTTCCTGCACTTGAGAGATCACGGACTGCCCCAGGTTGTAAGTAATGGACAGAATAATGTAGGTAACTTACCCAGTGACTTCCCAAAACTTAGAATTGATGGCATTAATTTACAAGAGTGGTATCAACAGCTTCAGGTTATTTTCATGAAAGAAAATTTACTATTCTTTATAACTAGCCCTCCAAGAAGACCTTGGACTTTAAAAATAGATTGTTTACATCATAGAGCATTTTTCATAATAATATCTAGCGTGTCTCCTGCAATGTATCATAGCATCAAACCAAACCTAACTGTATCAGAAATAATTCAATGCATGTTTAATCTATTTCACAGCGATAGCGTAGCTACAACCACAAGAATGTCTAAGGATTTCTTTTCCTCTAGAGTAAAACCAGGGTTTCTATAAGTGAGCATTTGATAAATCTAACAAAATAAGAGCTGAGCTACAATTGAGGGGGGAAGTGATTTCAGATCAAACAATGAAAAGTGTTATTATCAATTCACTTGATCCATCATGGGATAGCTTTATGTCACACTTAGATACCATTATTTGGGATATTTATCCATAGAAAGTCTATCTAACAAATTGATAGCAGAAGACAATTCAAGAAAAACCGATCCAGTAACCAAACAGACCACAAACCTTTTAGGAAAGTAGTCTTTCAAGATAAACATAATGAGGCCTTTAGATGCTACAATTGTGGATCCAGGGAACATAGTAGAAGAGACTGCCCCAAAGTCTCAAGAGAGAGACATAGACCAGAATATAGGAGCAAATATAATTACAGACAATCTTCCACAGATAGACACAAATATAGAAGCCCACCAAATTACAAAGAAGGTAGAGGGGGTAGAGAAAATTCAAAAGAGAGGAAATCTGGGTCACTGAATGGGCTAAATAAACAAGACAGCACCAGAACACAGCAGGATGAGAATAACAATTGGCTTATTGATTCTGGTGCAACAAATCACACCACCAACAACAAAAAGTATATTATCTTCATTTATAGAAGATAAGTTTGTGATAAAGGTAGCTAATCAAGAAAAGGTTCAAGTACTAGGCAAAGGAAATGTGACCTTGCCTGGTCTAGGGAAAATAGAGGGGGTATATTAATCCAGAAATACCTCACAACATACTAAGTGCCATAAAATTAAGCAGAGAATCTGATATCAATATAGTTTTCTCAAAGGGGAAAGCAACTATAGAAAAGAACAAAACAAATGTAGGTACTGTAATGATAAAAGGAGGTACCCTATCTGATAACTAAAGAAAGATGTTTACATAACATTGATTCAAATATGGAAGATTGTATTGAAGCAGATGATGAAAATGTCAGTAACAGTGACAATGATGAGTGTAGAATAACTCATGATCACAAAAACACATACAAGGAAAAGAAACCAAAAATAGGTAAACCAATTCATGATGAGTGTGCTCACATCTTACACAGGAAGTTAGGACATGCAAGCTTTCCTGTAGTACAAAAAATGACTGAACACGCAGAAGGTGTCAAAATAAAAAATTGTGAAAATTATTTGGAATGCTCAGTATGTAAGTCCACCAAACTAAAAACCAGTCCCAGACCAAAAAAATCTAACAGATCAACTAACAATATTTTTGATTTGGTACATATGGACTTAGTTGGTCCATTAAGTCCCTCAATTACCTATAGAAAACGTTACTTCCTAACAATAGTGGATGACTACAGCCGATATGGTTTTGTTTACACATTAAAGCACAAGGATGAAACATTTCAGAAATTTAAGGAATTCTACAAACGTATAGAAACACAACATAATATCAGAATAAAGCAAATTATGACAGATAGGGGATGTGAGTTCATGTCTAAAGAATTCTCCCAATGGTTAAAGGATAGAGGAATGTTACATTTCACGTCCAATCCTTTTTCTGCATTTCAAAATGGAGTTGCAGAGAGGAAAAATTCCACACTACAAACCATGATTAGGTGCACATTAGAGGATGCTGGTTTAGGCAAACAATTTTGGTCAGAGGCATTACATTATTCGAATTACACTCTCAAAATAGAACCTGGTCCAGTATTGTGAATAAGACACCATATGAGGTGATGTACAATAGAAAACCCAAATTATCACACATGCACATATTTGGAGTCACTGCAGACGTACACATACCTAAACAATTGAGGAGAAAGGAGAAAAAACGTATCCAGGAGATTAAGATTCATGGGATACGAAACTGGAACCAAAGGGTACAGATTTATTGATAGTAATAACAAATTTATAGTATCCAGAACAGCTGTGTTCCATGAACAGGCCAATTGGTCAAAATTGCACCTTAATGAAATATTTCCTAATAAATGTAAAGATACGATATCTTGCGAGAAGGAAGAAACAGAAAATCAAAAATATTAACAAAAGTAAGAACAAAACCAAAACTTGGACTAATAGTCAGCATAAAATAAAGACAGACACATTAACAAAAAGGAAGCTAGATATTTGCATGATAACCATAGCAAGCCTGAAAGAACTATTAGAAACAATAGAAACCAAATACCAAATAAATACAAAGATTACATAATGCATATGAATGGAGAACAAATAACACCTAATACATATGAAGAAGTATTGAAACTTCCACATGAAGAAAGAGAAAAATGGGAACTAGCTATGGAAAAAGAGATGGAAAGTTTACAAGGATTAAATGTATTCACACCTGCGATCGCACCTAAGGATAAAACAATTATAGGTACCAGGTGGTGGATTTAAAATTAAGAACTTAGAAGGAGGCAATACCTTATACAAGGCTAGACTAGTTGCACAAGGCTATGCACAAAAATATCCAGAAGACTATACTGATACATATTCACCCACAGTGAGAACAGAGAGTGTCAAAACAGCCCTTGTAGTAGCATCTGCACTCAATCTGGACGTATTCCAATATGACATACAGACCGCATACTTACATGCAAAATTAGATAAGGAAATATATGTAAGAGCACCACACAGTCAATACACTAATAAGAACGAAATTTGGTTATTAAATAAGAGTCTGTACGGATTAAAGCAATCCGGCAAAAGATGGTACGATTGCTTGGTAAAAGTACTTAAGACCATGGATTTCAACGCCACCACTGCTGATAACTGTTTCTTTGTAAAAAAGAGTAATGATCATATTGAATTTGTATTAATTTACGTGGACGATATTTTATACATTGGAAAGCAAAAAGAGAGCAGGGAAATCTTTGTAAATAAGTTAAATGAACACTTCTCACTGAAATCTCTGGGTAAAGTGAATAAATACCTTGGTGTGCAAATTAACAAAACTAAAAGGGGATTCAAACTTACACAGAAAGATAAAATCATCGAACTCCTAAACAAATGTAACTTAAATAATGCTAAAACCTGTGACACCCCTATGCAAACTGATTTTCTTAGAAACACTGATGAATCTTCCCTGAGTTTAAAGACAACACATTTTACAGATCAGTTATAGGTTCACTCCTTTATATATCTAATTGGACTAGGCCAGATATTGCATTACCTCTCAATCTATTGTCAAGATATGTTAGTAAACCAACCTTGTATCATTGGGAAGCTGTCAAAAGAATTCTAAGATATCTGAAGGGTACATTAGATTTTTGTTTAATGTTGGAACCCAATAATGACAGAGAACCAAAAATTACTTGTTATGCTGATGCAGATTGGGCTGGTGATACATCATGCAGAAAGAGTACTTCTGGTTATGTTTTTCTATTGAATGATTGTCCAGTTTACTGGTATACTGGTAAACAAGAACTAGTAGCCACTTCTACTACAGAAGCGGAATATGTTTGTTTGTCCAAAGCTGCAAATAACCTTGTATGGTTCAATGATCTGATCACTGATGTTTGGAAGAAACCCACCTTACCATTTATTATGCATGAAGACAATAAAGCGGCCATTGAAATATCCAGATCCGATGCAATTGGACAAAGGTCCAGGCATATTGATATAAAGTTTAAGCATGTGAGACAACTGTCTCAAGACGGATTCATTAAAGCAATACATTGCGATACTTCTGAACAATTAGCTGACATATTAACAAAACCCTTACCTTCTAAACAACACAAATATTTAACTTCTAAATTATATGTATTATATTGTCCTGAATCAGAATGTAATTGGTGTTGTGTAACGAACCGGCATTTAGAGGGGGATTTGTCAGATGTAAATGCCTTATTCTCCAATGTGTAAATAATGTATATATGGAACATCAGAGGTTAACTTATTCTTTGGACTTTAATGTATTCATAACTTACCACTCCCATTCCTAGCTCCACCCCTTGTATATATAAGGAGCCACCCTCACCATTCTCGTCGCTTCTACCTTGAATATTCAGTGAATATAGAATGCCTATCATAATTAAAAAGAAATATATTTAAAGCTCTAACTCCTATTATCTTTATTGAGTCTGATCCTGAAAATATTGCAACAAAGGCAATGAATGTTTAAATTACACGGTAGATTTTCCCATTCTGACTGATAGTTTTCAATACCCATAGATCTCACAATCTCCTGGTTGCTCACCAACGTTTTCCTTCAAGTTTTTAGCAAATGCTTTGTCCCTTTGCATGTCTACATTATAAATCTATGTCCCCCAGCCCCCCCTGACCCCCACTTCCTCAACCTATAATATTTCTTTAAGTGAGAAAAACCACTGGCTGAAGAGATTGGACAGCCATTAGTCTGAAATGGTGTGTAGAGCAGTGATGGCTAACCTTTTTGCCATCGCATGCCAAAAGCATGTGGAGCACGGGGGGGGGGGTGTTGCGTGTTTCTGCCCACACCCATAATTCAATGTGCCCCCCTCCCACGCATGCACACGATCCCCCCCTGCGCTCCTTAGCATGTGATGGCACGGTGGGCCCAGGAGACCCGTTTTTCACCCTCCCCAGGCTCCAGAGGCTTTCTCGGATGCATGCTGGAGCTGAGCTAGGGCAACGCTCACGTGCCCACCGATATGGCTTCACGTGCCACCTGTGGCACACGTGCCATAGGTTCACCGTCATGGGTATAGAATTTCCGGCTTGAATAGGGGGTCGGACTAGAAGACCTCCAAGGTCCCTTCCAACTCTGTTAGTCTGTTATTCTCTTAAAGAAAAAATCCCAGTCCCTCTAGGAAGCGAAATCAGATCAAAATTAATTAATTAATTAGAACAATTAATCAGTGGAAGAACTTGCCTCCAGAAGTTGTGAATGCTCCAACACTGGAAGTTTTTAAGAAGATGTTGGATGACCATTTGTCTGAAGTGGTGTAGAGTTTCCTGCCTAAGCAGGGGGTTGGACTAGAAGACCTCCAAGGTCCCTTCCCACTCTCTTATTCTGTTTTCTGCTTGAAAATGAAGCCGAGAATATTCCTGCCACATCCATGTTAAGTGTAGAGTTTACGTCAATGAATAATGGCTGTCAGTTTTTGCTACCCCCGAAAAACTTTTGCTTTGTTTCTATTTCAGGGTTTCGTGGTCGCTGTGCTATACTGCTTTTTGAATGGGGAGGTAAGATTTTTTAAAAATGTTATTGGTGTTTTGAAATGTTAGCTTTGCAACTCCAGGTAATCCTCAACTTACAACTATGCGTTTTAGCGACTGTTTGAAATGATAACAGCACTGAAAAGAGGGGCGTATGGCCAGTCCTCACACTTACGACCATTGCAGCATCCCAATGGTCCCGAGATCAAAATTCGTATAATTCCAGGATCACCTTTTGCTACTCTCCAACAAGCACTGTCAATGGGGGGAAACTGGGTTGGCTTAATGACCACATGATTCACTTAACAACTACAGTGATTTGCTAAACAACTGTGGCAGAAAGGTTGTAAATTCAGTTATGATTCATTTAACAACCATCCTGCTTGTCAATGGAGGCTTTTGTCCCAATTGCAGTCATATGTTGAAGACATTCCCCACAATCATGTGATCAAAATTTGGATGCTTTGCAACTGGCATGTACTTAATGATGGTTGCAGCATCCCGGGGTCACGTGATCACCATTTGTGATCTTCTGAGCTGGCTTCCGAGAAGCAAGGTCAGTGGGGAAGCTGGATTCGCTTAACGACCGCATGATTCACTTAACAACTGCAGGGATCCGTTGAACAACCGTAGCAAAAAAAATCATAAAATTTGGTCATGAATCACTGAACAGAAACTTTGCCTAGAAATTCTGCTCCCAATTGTGGTCGTAAATCGAGGACTACCTGTCGCAAATCGAGGATTACCTCTTTGTTCCTATGTGAAAAAGGAAAAAGGAGTGGTGGGGAAAATTCTTGCCCTGTGCTATGACCCACCCACCCCCAGCTGTGTCTGGAATGAGATACATGGGGGATTCTGGGAGTTGAAGTCCACCTCTTCTTAAAGGGACAGGTTTAAAGAAAAATGTATTAGACAGAGTCCATGTCAAGCTAACATTTGTCCTAATGTCAATACAGGTAGTCTCGAGTTACCACAATTCATTTAGTGGCTGTTCGAAGTTACAATGGCACAGAAAAAAATGACTTATGACCATTTTTCACGCTTACGACTATTGTAGCATCCCCATGATCCAGTGGTGGGATTCAGCTGGTTTGCACCAGTTCGCTAAAACCTGTTGTTAATTTTATGTGCAGTTCTCCGAACCGGCTGAATTGCCTCAGTGTGACCCCGCCTCCTGGCCTTCCTTGCCTGGCCCCACCTCGCCCCTCCCTTCCTGAGGTTCCCAACACCCCCCCACCCCCCACCCCCCAAGAAAACAACCTGTCTCAAGATCCCATGGACAACTTTGGCTCGGGCAGTCGAATTCCACGCTCGTTTCCTGTCTCTGCAAAGCAACAAAATTGCAGAAAGGCCCTGTCGAGCTGAGAATAGGGCTTCAGACAGGGGTGAAATGCACTTACCTTCACTACCGGATCACAAATGTGAGCACGTGCACCTCCTCCACGCATGCACCAGTGGTGGGTTGCTACCGGTTCACCCCGATTTAGGTGAACCGGTAGTAGCAGCAGCGTGCGCACCCCCATGAGCGAACTGGTAGCGACAGGTTTTGAAACCCGCCCCTGGCATGCGCAGAGCCTTCTGTGCATGCGCAGAGGGTCAAAAATGGGATATGATGACATCCAGGCGGGTACTGAATCATGCGAGCTGGATAGATCTGGCTGAATTTCACCACTGGCCTCAGAGGACGCAATTCCTGATAAACGCATGATCATGTGATCAAAATTCAGACACTTGGCAACTGATTCATATTTACAATGGTTGCAGCATCCCCAGGTCACATGACGCCCTTTTGCGACCTCCTGACGAGCAAAGTCGCTGGGGGAGCCAGATTCATTTAACAACCGTGTTACTAACTTAACAACCGTAGTGATTCACTTAACAACCGTGGCAAGCTGGCTTCCCTGTTGACTATGAGCATCAGAAGGTTGCAAAAGGGGATCACATGACCGGGGGGGGGACCGCAATCCATCATAAATATGAGTCGACTGCCAGCAATCTGAATGTCGATCACATGGCCATGGGGATGCTGTACCTTACCGCCATGGTCGCTTTTGTAAGTGTGAAAAACCATCCTAAGTCATTTTTTCCAGTACCGTTGTAAGTTCAAACGGTCACTAAACAAATGGTTGTAAGTAGAGGACTACCTATAATCTTGCTCAGTTGTCATCCCTGCTAGAGACTTCGGAGACATGGTGGTCAGGTCAAGGGATGGTTTGGAGATTAATCCAGGTTTGCAGAAGGATCTGGGGTGGTAGGCTTGGTGGAGTCAAGGATGCAGCAAGTGATAAGACATTTATTGGCCTCCACTTGGCACAACAATTGGACACAGACACACACACACACAAACAGAGCATTCTAGACAATTTATACCCCATGTGGACAAATCTCTCATTTGGGTTACCGTATTTTTCAAAGTATAAGACGCACCTACCTTTTTTGGTGAGGAAAAGAAGAAAAAGAAATCTCCCTCTGCCTCTGAGCAATTTTGCCTCCTTGCAGCAAACAGCAAACAGCCTGCTTTACTTTCAGTTTCGTTTTCAGCATAGCTTGATTAGCACAAGGGAAAAAAAAATCTGCTCCAGTAATTTACCTCCTTGCAGCAAGCAGCAGAGCCCTGCGCAAAACAGCTGAGAGTCAGGAGACCGATCCAATCAACTTGTGCTAATTAGGCTGTGCTGAAGCTGAAAGGAGCTATTCTTTCTTGCTGTTTGCTTGCAGGGAGGTAACTGCTGGAAGGCAGAGGCCAAAGGGTGGGGACCAGTGGGTGGGCGGGGCTACATTCGCACCTAAATTTTCACCCCCTTTTAGGGGGGGGGAAAGGTGTGTCTTATACTCCGAAAAATACGGTACTTCTGGTGCCTTGTTTAGATCAATGCACATGTCTAGGAACATCCACAGAGGGCTCAAAATCTGCCAGTTGGTCGGTGTGCATTGCATTCCATCCCCATTCTTCGTACAGATGCACCAATGGGGCAGGTGGCCAGTACTTTAATTCTGCCCTCCATCTTCCAAAGGTTGACCCACACTCTTGTAGATCCTGCTGCATGTGCACAGAGACTCTTTAAACCTTCCTTGTTGGCTCCTTGGTGCTCTTTGAGCTTGGTGGTTTTCTTACAGACATTTCATGACCCAACTAGGGAACATCATCAGTGCTAGAAGAGAAGAGAAGGGGGTGGGGCTTGCAGAGAGGAGGAGGAGGAGGAAGAGGGAACTGGAGGTCCTGGCTGCTCTGTGAACTTGGTGGTTTTCTTGCAGACATTTCATGACCCAAAAGATCAGTGCTGGAAGGGAGTGGAGTTCTAGTAGCACTGACGAAGTTACCTAGTTGGGTCATGAAATGTCTGTAAGAAAACAACCAAGCTCAGAGAGCATCAAGGACCCCACAGCCCTTTTCTTCCTCCTCCTCCTCCTCCTCCTCCTCCTCTACAAACCCTGTTCCCTTTTAACACTGACAAAGTTACCTAGTTGGGTCATTAAACGTCTGCAAAAAAACAACCAAGTTCAGAGAGCATCAAGGACCGCACAGTTAAACCCTGAGCTGTAAATATTCTTGTCAATCGGTTAGCCCTTGCTTCCCCAGTTTGAGGGTGGGGATTAAACCAGCTTGAGGAGCTCCATCAGAGATGCCCCCTCTACCCTTAGATCCTTCTGCAAACCTCCAGCTCAACATCTTTTCCTTCTTGTGTCTTTTGAAAGTGTTTTATGAGCAGCATGTTCCCCCCCGGACGTCCGAGTACCTAAAAAAAAATGACCTCTTAAAGTTTCTCCCTCAAGGTGCAATCCGAAATCAAGAGAAAATGGCGGAGCTGGAAAGTCAACCGTTATTTTGCTGTGGATTTCAAACACCGCCATCCCTCCCTGGCAAGCAGCGGTGTCAACGGGGGGACTCAACTGTCCATCTTGAGCAAGAGCAGCTCGCAGATTCGGATGTCCAGCGTCCATGCCGAGAACTTGGCCACATGAGCCCGTAAGACCCCGCTTCTTCTCCCACCGATTAACCCTACTTTGGACACCACGAAAGGACCATATTTAGGCCTAAATATGATGGCTTTCGGGGTATTACTTCCGTCTGCCTTTTTTAAAAATAATAATAATAATAAACAAATCCACCTCCCTTTGATGGAAAGTTTCTGGGGTTCTGAAGCTTGTCATCTCTGATGGGTGGAAAAGGAGCTCCACAAAGAGGTCCCATCTAGGGGAACGAGGTCCTCCAGACCAAAATCACCTCGATACACCCGTTGTCCCAAGAGCTGAAACCCTCCCATCACTTCCGTTCCTCATTTCCCTGGTACCATTGATGAATTTTTGGGGTCTCCAAGACGAGGGCCATGAGTGAACATCTCATGAAGTTGGGGTGTCTCATGTCCAAACGCTTCTGATCCCAACATCTTGGACCACCGGTGTCCTCTTTTGGGACCTAGAATGTCATGCACCGTAATGGTTTCCACTTACCTTCGCTATCATTTTGGAACTGTAAGCATGCATGCACGCTTACTTTGCTCATGCGCAGCACTTCTGCACATGCTCAGAGCATCCATGATGACGTCCAGGCAGCTGGGTGGAGCCTCCCGCCGCTACCGGTTCACCCAAACCAGTAGAAACCCACCACTGGTTATGCAAACACTGAGCCAGGGGTGACCCCCCTCACCCCCCCCAATGGTGGTGGGCATTGCGGTCGCAGAGACGGATCCTACCAGAATTGGTTGAGAGCCCTCATTCCTTAACCACCTCATTCCTCAGATGGAAAATCCCCCAACCCTACAAGTGGAAGGTCTCCGATTTTCCCCCTTTGAGGAAACTATCTGAATTATTTTGTTTTGTTTCTTTCGTTAAGCTACGGATCTTCTAAAATGGCCATCTCAGTACCATAGAGTTATATTTTTTGAGACAGATGGTTTTTTTTTCTTTCTTTCCTTGTTTTTTTTTTTTAAAAATAGAACTAATATGGAGATAGATTATATGTATTTCCCGACATTAAGTGCCGATTAATTCCGGAGATACTTTTTCTCCCAGACTTCTGACACGACCCCTTCCATGGCTAACGAGTGACAGAAAATAGGGTGAGGGGAGGGACTTCGAAGGGAGGATTTGGGTTGACTATCAAAAAGTGTGTGCGGCATGTTATCAAGGCATGGTTCACCCCAAAAGGGCAGATGGGTTATGTAGTTGGAGGAGGAGATTCATTGGGGGGATCTTAAGAGAGCCACCTGCCTTTTCTTCCTCCTTCCTTCCTTTTTTTTGTTTCCTTCCTTCTTTCCTTCCTCCCTCCCTCTCTTTTCTTTCTCTTTCCCTTTCATTTTTATCTTTTTTCCTTGCTTCCCTCCATCTCTTCCTTTCTTCCTCCCTTCCTCCCCTTTCTTCCTTCCTTCTTCCCTTTTTTCTTTCCTTTCTCCTCCATCCCTTTTTTCTTTTTTCCTCTCCCTCCCTCCCTTCCTTCTCTCCCTCCCTCTCCCTTCCTTTTTTGTTTCTTTCCTTCCTCTCCCTCTCTTCCTTCCTTCCTCCCTCCTTTCTCTTTCCCTTTCATTTTTATCTCTTTTCCTTCCTTCCTTCCCTCCCTCTCTTCCTTTCTCCCTCACTTTCTCTCCTTCCTTCCTTCCTTCCTTCCTCCTTTTTTCATTTTTTCTTTCCTTTCTCCTCCATCCCTTTTTTTCCTCTCCCTCCCTCCCTTCTCTCCCTCCCTCCCTCTCCCTTCCTTCCTTTTTTCCCTTCCTCTCCCTCTCTTCCTTCCTCCCTTTTCTCTTTCTCTTTCATTTTTATCTTTTTCCTTGCTTCCCTCCATCTCTTCCTTTCTCCCTCTCCCTCCCTCCCTCTCTTCTTTCTCCCTCCTTTTCTCTCCTTCCTTCATCCCTCCCTTTTTTCATTTTTTTCTTTCTTTTCTCCTCCCCTCTTTTTTCTTTTTTCCTCTCCATCCTTCCCTTCTCTCCAGTGGTGGGATTCAGCCAGTTCGCAGCACTTCGGTTGTTAACTTTCTGAGCAGTTTGGTGAACTGATTGTTGGAAGAAATCATTAGGGCAGAGAAGCGGTTGTTAAATTATTTCAATCCCACCACTGCTTCTCTCCCTTCCTTCCTTCCTTCCTTCCTTCCTTCCTTCCTTCCTTCCTTCCTTCCTTTCCTTTCCTTTCCTTTCCTTTCCTTTCCTTTCCTTCCTCTCTCCCTCTTCCTCCCTCCCTCCCTTTCTTCCCCCTATTTTGCACAGCTGGGGTATTTTCTATGATTAGCCATTATTACTAGTAAAAAAAAAAAAGAGGGTGGAAATTTTTTTATTAAGGCTTGGAAGGAAGAAGTGGGTTCTTCTAACCCCCACCTTCAATTCAGAGCCCCTTCTTTTGCGTAGCTGCTTTCAGCCGAACTCAACCAACGATGTCAGTTTTTTTCCCCGTGAGACTCTTGTGTCATGCACGACGTCTCCAGAGGACTTTTGTGGTGTTTCGTGGGCTGTGTGAGTCTCTCCTCCATGTTTCAAGATCCTCTCTAATCGGTGTGACTTCATATGTGTGTGTTTGCGTGTGTGTGTGCATACCTTAAAGAGGACTATCCTATTTTATTAAAATGGTAAGGAATAAATGCTCACCGCAGCTAAGAAATGGAAGAAGAAATTCTGCTTAATAAAAGGTTTGGGGAAGGGAAAAGGGAAAATGCTTAAGTTGCTTCCTACACATTGAGTAGCGTGAGATTCTTTGCACCTGCTCCTTCCACCCTGCAGTTTTGGGGCGGCTTTCTACTACAGGTAGTCTTTGACTTATAACCACAACTGAGCCCAACATTTCTGTGGCTAAGTGAGAAATTTGTTAAGTGAGTTTTGCCCCATTTTACAACCTTCCTTGCCACAGTTGTTAAGTGAGCCACTGTAGTTGTTGACAGTCAGTCACACGGTTGTTATGTGAATCTGGCTTCCCCTTCTGACTTTGTTTCTCAGAAGGTTGCAAAAGGGGATCACATGACCTCGGGATGCTGCAGCCGTCATAAATACGAGACAGTTGCCAAGTGTCTGAATTTTGGTCATGGGATCCTGGGGATGCTGCAGCGGTCGTAATTTTGAAAAATGGTCATAAGTCATTTTTTTCAGTGCCGTTTTAACTTCGAACGGTCACTAAATGAACTGTTACAAGTCAAGGACTACCTGTGTAAAGAAGGACAGGATAAAATGCCATTTAACCATTGTCACATAATTCTTTGGTTCTCCAGGTTTCTCTTGGAAGCAACTTATCTCTCCTTATATAAGCCACAACCAAGGTTTTCATTTTGGCTTACACTCCAACTCACTTGTATATTTGGTGTAGAATCTGCAATAAAAGGGGATTTGAATGATGGACAGGCTGGGTTCTAATTGTCCTGAGCTATCTTGGCAAAGCTGTCAGTACCAGTGCTTTGATAGTCTGCATTCCTTCCTCTGTTGTGCAACTCCTTCCTTCCTTCCTTCCTTCCTTCCTTCCTTCCTTCCTTCCTTCCTTCCTTCCTTCCTTCCTCCCTTTTCCCTTTACTTCCTTTCCTTTCTCCTCCCTCCCTCTCTTTCCTTCTTTCCCTCTGTCTCTCTTTCCTCCCTCCCTCCCTATCTTTCTCTCCTCTCCTCTTACCTATTCCTTCCTTCCTCCTCCTTTCCTCTCCTTTCTTTTTTCTTTTCTTTCTCTTCTGTCTTTCTTTCCACCCTTTCCTCTCCTCTCCTCTTCCCTCCCTCCCCTTGCTGCCTTCCTTCCCCTCCCCTCTTCCTCCCCTCCCCTCTTTCTTCCACCCACTCTCCCTCCCTCCCTTTCATTTAGAGAGCACCGAAAAATACCCCCCCACCCAGAAGGAGAAAGCCAGATAAGCTGTGAATAACACCAGACAAACGATCAAGCAGAAAACAATACCTTAATCAAGGAATTATTAAGGAGAAAATAACATTTCCACTAACATTGAGAGGGCAAGCCACTGCTGTAGATAAACGAAGAGGAAACCCCCTTCCTTTCTAGCCCTGATGATGTTACCTACTTGGGGAATGAAATGTCTGAAAGAAAACCACCAAACTCAGAGATCATCAAGGGCCCCACAGTCCTGAAATTAAAATAGTTTGGTGGCAAGAAACCGAGGACAATTTCTGGGAAAGATTGAAACCAAGTCCTTTCGAATTTTCTGGTACAATCCTCCACTAAAATGCCTAAAATTGTAGCAAGAAATACAGACAACATACTTTTAAAACACTTGTTACAAATTAAGGGGAAATGGACAAAACAGATGAATACAGGCAGTCCTCAACTTACAACCATTCATTTAGTGACTGTTCAAAGTTACCCCAGCACTGAAAAAAGGGACTTATGACCATTTTTCACACTTCTGACCATTGCAGTTGCCCCCAAGGTCAAAATTTGCTTGGCAACTGACTCATATTTATGACTGTTTCCCCAGGGGTCACATGATCCCCTTTTGCAACCTTCTAACAAGCCACGTCAATGGAGAAGTTAACTGCCGTGTGACTAACTTAACAATTGCAGTGGTTCACTTAACAACCATGGCAAAAAAGATCGTAAAATGGGGCAAAATCCCCCCCATCAGCCATCTTGCTGAACAATGGAAATTTTGGGCTCAATTGTGATTGTAAGTGAAGAACTATCCGTGTTGGAAAATTAAAAAGTGATGGAAGAATGTACATATTGCACATCTTTTTCCTAAAAGTTCCATCTCTCTCCCTAAAATCTCTTAAAATTAGAGCAAATTTAAATCTATAACTCTTGCTTGAGAGTAAATCATATGGACTGAATTCCATTAGCTTCCGAAGGTCTTACTAGTAGACAATTGTCACAGGATTACATACAGATACTCCTTGTTTTACGACTACCATTGAGGCCAAAATTTATGACACTTGAGCAGGGGATTGGATTAGAAAACCAGCTCTGATATTCTGTCATTCAAATACCCAGCAGGGCTGGACCATCAGGCAAAGCTAATCCAAATTCATAATTTTATACAATTTTATAAAGCAAGACAATTGTTAAGTGACTTTTGCCCCATTTTATGACCTTTCTTGCCACAGTTGTTAAGCGAATCATCGCAGTTGTTAAGTTAGTCACACGGTTGTTAAGTGAATCTGGCTTCCCCATTGACTTTGCTTGTCAGAAGGTTGCAAAAGGGGATCACATGGCCCCCAGGATGCTGCAACCGTCATAAATATGAGTCAGTTGCCAAGCATCCAAGTTTTGATCACATATGTATTCTTGGTAGTGCTGCAACAGTCGTTAAGTGTGAAAAATGGTCATAACTCACTTTTTTCAGCGCCGTTGTAATTTCCAACGGTCACTATATCAACTGTTTGCAGATCGAGCACTACCTGTAATTAATAAACCAGTGCCAAATTGCTTTAGAGTAGGCCCACTGGGGGAGTTGGTTTACTTTGGAGTAACGGACTTAAGATCCTATGGACTGATATTTTTGAATCCCAGTTTTACAACGTTTTGTGGTTGTGGGAAAAGTTCCCAGTTGCTCTTCTGCACAAAAACATTTTGTTATGTTTGTTTTCTCTTGACTGTCCAACAAAATGAATGTATTTGCTGAATGAATGAGTCAAGCATCTCTCTTTTTTTCATTTGTCAGGCGGTAGAAACCTAATGGCCAAGATTTGCTTCTAAAGCTGATGTAAATATCTCTTTTTGCGTTGAAACCGTGCTCTGTTTCTTCTTCTTTTTCCACTGTGAACTATCTTTTGGAGTTTGAGGATCTATGTTATTAAAAAAGAAAACAAAAAGCAAGTGTAATTATAACAAAGTTTATTGAGAATAAAATATTTGTTGTGACACGGTCTTGAATTTTTTTTTAAAACAGTTCTCAAAACAGAGGGATTATCTACCTGTCGATTATATTTCTAAGCCACTTAATTCAAAAACAAGTTCCTTTCTTCTTTACTTATACAAAACAGCCTTCATCTTCTCTTGACTTTGTAGACTGAAAATAACTCCAGATTAGTTCTCGGGTTACGACCATAATGAAGCTTGCCCAGTACGATGATAAGTTGTAACAGTCGCAAAATGACAATTTGGTTTTTTTTGCGGTGGTCATTAAACGAACGTGGCAGTCGTAAAAGAAATGCCATGATTGTTAAATGAATTGATGATTCAATATCTTGCTCAATAGAAGTAAATGTGAGAGGGATCTTGGAGTCCTAAATGGACAACCATTTAGATATGAGCCAGCCGTGTGCAGCAGCTGCCAAAAAAGCCAACACAATCCTAGGCTGCATAAACAGAGGGATAGAATCAAGATCATGTGAAGTGTTAAGACCACTTTAACAATGGTGGGTTTCAAAAATTTTTACTACCGGTTCTGTGGGTGTGGCTTGGTGGGCGTGGCAGGGGAAGGTCCCAGCAAAATCCCCATTTCCTCCCAATCAGCTGGGACTTGGGAGGCAGAGAATAGATGGGGGTAGAGCCAGTCAGAGTTTTTACTACCGGTTCTCTAAACTACTGAAAATTTCCGCTACCGGTTTTCCAGAACTGGTCAGAACCTGCTGAAACCCACCTCTGCACTTTAATAAGGCCTTGGTAAGGCCACACTTGGAATATGGCATCCAGTTTTGGTCGCCACGATGTAAAAAAGATGTGGAGACTCTAGAAAGAGTGCAGAGAAGAGCAACAAAGAGGATTAGGGGACTGGAAGCTAAAACATATGAAGAACAATTGCAGGAACTGGGCATGGCTAGTTTGATGAAAAGAAGGACTAGGGGAGACATGATAGCAGTGTTCCAATATCTCAGGGGCTGCCCCAAAGAAGAGGGAGTCAAGCTATTCTCCAAAGCACCCGAGGGCAGGACAAGAAGCAATGGGTGGAAACTAATCAAAGAGGGAAGCAACCTGGAATTAAGGAGAAATTGGTGGTGAATTTCAGATCCAGATAAATCCCCTTTTCAGGTCAGTCGTAATTGTGTGACTGGTTGTAGATCAAGGACTATATGTGCTTGACAAATTGTAGATCCTTTAAAAAAAAAACACTGTTATCTTATCCTTAGACTCTAGAAAAGTGCAGAAAACAGCAACAAAGATGATTAGGGGACCGGTGGCTAAAACATATTTTGTCTGAAATGATATAGAGCTCCCTGTGGCAGCGTGGAAGCTTCTGGTGTTAATATGGAGTTGGGGCTTTCTGGAACGCTGACACCCTGCTTGGGAAGAGGGTTGGGCTAGAAGACCTCCAAGGTCCCTTCCAACTCTGTTATTCTGTTATATGAAGAATAGTTGCAGGAATTGGGCATCTCTAGTGCAAAAAAGAAGGAGTAGGGGAGACATGATAGCATCTTCCAATATTTGAAGGGCTGCCACAAAGAACAGGAAGATCCACCTATTCTCCAAAGCCTCTGAAGGCAGGACAAGAAGCAACGGATGGAAACTGACAAAGGGGAGAAGCAACCTGGAACTAAGGAGAAACTTCCTAACAGTTAGAACAATTAATCAGTGGGACAACTTCTGTCCAAAAATTGTGGATGCACTGGAGGTTTTTAAGAAGAGCTTCGACAACCACTTGTCTGAAATAGTATAAGGTCTCCTGCTTGAGCAGGGGGTTGGACTAGATGATCTCTCCAAGAGCCCTTCCCTTATTCTGTTAGACTACTTTACGTAATCCCGATGTCAAAAATTTAGCACGCTTCCTTAACTGATATACTCCAGATGTATGTGGACTACAGCCAAGCACAATTGCCGGGAATTCTGGGAACTAAAATAGTCACATCTGCATTAAGGCAAGAGATGATTTTACTAATTCAGATGTTCTGATGTCAGAACTTGTTAAAATAAATCAGGGAGGGAGGGATAGAAAGGGGGGAAAAGGCCACCTCTGTAACACACTCACCAAATATTTGAACCAATCAGGAAAGAAAGAAAGAAAAAGAAAGAAAGGAAGGAAGGAAGGAAGGAAGGTAGGAAGGAAGGAAGGAAGGAAGGAAGAAAAAGAAAGAGAGAGAGAAAGAGAGAATGAAAGAAAAAGAAAGGAAGGAAGGAGAGGGAGGGAGGAAAGAAAAAAGGAAAGAGAAAGAAAGAGAGAGAGAGGAAGGAAACACACGCACACAGTGACACTCTCTCTCTCTGTATACAGTCATCTGAAACAATTGGAAGGAAGGAAAGGAAAGGAGGGAGGGAGGGAGAGATAGGGACAAAATATTTATCTATTTATCTAGCTAGCTAACCATCCATCCATGCCTCTCTCTCTCTGTCTATCTATCTATCCATCCATCTCTATCTCTATCTCTACATCTCTATCTCTATCATCTCTATCTCTATCTCTATCTACTATCTATCTATCTATCTGCACCTGAGTGGCGCAGCAGACTAATGCTACAGGTAAAGGTAGTATTTAGCTTCCAGCTGCCTGCAATTACTGCGAGTTCAAATCTCACCAGGCTCAAGGTTGATTCAGCCTTCCATCCTTTCTAAGGTAGGTGAAATGAGGACCCGGTTTGTGGGGGCAATAAGCTGACTTCGTATAAATATACAAAAAGGATGAAGGCTATTGCTTAACGCACTGTAAGCTGCCCTGAGTCTCCGGAGAAGGGCGGCATATAAATCAAAATTAAAAAATAAATAAATCTCTATCTCTATCTATCTATCTATCTATCTATCTATCTATCTATCTATCTATCCATCCATCTCTACCTCTCTCTCTCTCTTTATCTATCCATCCATCTATCCATCCATCCATCTCTACCTCTACTTCTACCTCTATCTCTACCTACCTACCTACCTACCTATCAATGTCTCTATTCAGAAGCCAGTTTAAAGTCACCTAAACTTTAGACATTTTCACACAGACACACAGACACACCAAAGCTTCTATTTCTTCTGCTTTTGAGATTGGCTGAGAGGTTGCCTTGGTTCTGGACTCGCCTCCCAGGGACCCCCCCACTCCCTCCCTCCAGTCAAGATGACCCTGGGGATACCCACAGGGCTTGGCCAAGGAAGACGAGATGGTAGCCAGGATAATATAATGGCCACTCCACCTGTTTTATACATCAAAACCAGGCAGAACTGTCATCACACCACCCTAGGCGCCATCTCTTAAAAGTCATATTTTAAAACTATTTAAAATACATTAAAACAGTAAAAAAAAATAATCCACAAAATAATCAATAAATAGTTAGTTAATTAGTCCCCAGCTTACAGCCATTCATTTAGTGACCATTCAAAGTTCCAATAGCAACGCAAAAAGTAACTTATCTGTATCCGTATGCTCTCTACATGGGGCTCCCCTTGAGGAGCACCCGGAGGCTCCAGCTGGTCCAGAATGCGGCCGTGCGGGTGGTTATGGGAGCGGCGTGGCACTCCCATGTGACCCCCCTCCTGCGCAAGCTGCACTGGCTCCCGGTGGTCTTCTGGGTGCGCTTCAAGGTTTTGGTTACCACCTTTAGAGCGCTCCATGGCATTGGACCGGGGTATTTACGAGACCGCCTTCTGCTACCAATAGCCTCTCACCGACCAGTACGCTCCCATAGAGAGGGGCTTCTCAGGGTGCCGTCGGCCAAACAGTGTCGACTGGCGACCCCCAGGGGGAGAGCCTTCTCTGTGGGGGCACCTACCATCTGGAACGAGCTCCCCCCAGAGATACGGAGGATCCCGGACCTGCGCACGTTTTGTCGTGCTCTCAAAACTTTTTTATTTCAGCAGGCTGGCCTGGCCTAACTCTCTCTTTTAAATTTTTAATTTGTGTGATTTTATAAATTGGGTGTTTTAACCTGTGTTTCGGCCAAAATATTTAATAATTTTAAGGGACTTTTAATGTTTGTATTATCTGTATTTTATCTTGGCTGTTCACCGCCCTGAGTCCTCCGGGAGTAAGGCGGTATAGAAATTTGATAATTTTTTTTTTTTAAATTTGATTTATATGCCTCCCTTCTCCGGAGACTCAGGGCGGCTTACAATGCGTTAAGCAATAGCCTTCATCCTTTTGTATATTTATACAAAGTCAGCTTATTGCCCCCACAAACTGGGTCCTCATTTCACCTACCTTAGAAAGGATGGAAGGCTGAGTCAACCTTGAGCCTGGCGAGATTCGAACCTGCAGAAATTGCAGGCAGCTGTGTTAATTACAGGGTGCATTAAACCACTGTACTACCAAGGCTCCTTAAATAAATAAATAAATAAACTTAGGATCATTTTTCCCACTTATGACCATTGCAGCATCCCCATGGCCACGTGTTCGAAATTCGGCAACTGATTCATATTTATGACGGTGGCAGTGTCCCGGGGGTCATGTGATCCTCTTTTGTGACCTTCTGACAAGCAAAGTCAATGGGGAAGCTGGATTCACTTAACAACCGTGTTCCTCACTTAACAACTGCAGTGATTCACTTAACAACTGAAAGGAAGAAAAGTCATAAAATCCAGCAAGACTCACTTAACAGCTGTCTTGTTTTCCAAAGGAAATCTTGAGGTCCATTGCGGTCTTAAACCGAGGACTAACACTAAACAGTTCCAGCTCTTTGATGCATCAAGCTAAATGTGAGACATCTTTGAAAAAAAGATGTGGGATCTTTTGGCCATCAAATTCCGTGCTTTTATTGATAAACTAAATGTTTAAATCCCTTCGAAGGAACAGAATATTTGAAGCCGTGACCTGAAGCAAAGTGGAAATTCACATTAATAGTGGCTGATTTCACATCTTTAGGCAAGAAGGTGGAATTATCAGAATGAGACGAAAAAAGAATGACCATCAAAATCCATCTTTATGGCCCAACTTATTTTGAACTCTGAATGATGGCTTTCGGGCAAACAGAACCCTTCAGTGATGAATAGACTTTTGTGGTAAATAACGC